TTCACTGTCCATAACCTTAGTCATTGACGTGGTGCGCAACGTTGTAAAGAACTGACAAGCATCTCCAGGAATCCCGCAGAACCGGTGACGGCCAGTTCCTTCCAGAACCCACCCTTCGTTAGCCTGCTCCTGCCTCCCAAAGAGTCCCTCACCAGCAGCAAACTGAAGCTTCTTGCGGCCACTCTGCGCGATGGAGACGTTGACTTGTCCTTCACTAAGCATCAGCTCCACGTGACCCAGCCCATCTCCCAAGCGAGAGTAAAGGAGCAGCCCCGTGAGGTCCCAGGTGCGGAAGCGAAAGGAGACTGCTAAGCGGCCGCGGCGCGGAAACCCAGGCACTTGGACAAAGTTGTGAGGGCCTCCAAAGTTGATGGGGTGTGGAACGGGATCCAAGCAACGGAAAGCCACATTACCCTAGAAAGGAATGGATGGATGCATCAGGACACGGAGGCCTGGTACTCGTCGTTAATATTCTCACTGGGTTAAGACCCAGACCTAGTCCAGAGTGGAGTAATGATCTCCAGCCTTGACCCTTCCCATCCCCCGCAAATATGTCCACATACTTGTGGAAGGGGCCCAAACAAGCCTGTCCTCGGGACTTTGCTCTTTGCTCCCTTGTTAGCTTTTTATCACTGATCCCACTGTCCACAAAGCAAAATAATAATAATAATAATAATAATAATAATAATAATAATAATAATAATAAAAAATTTCCCTTTCGTAGTGCTAAGGGCAATATAGCACAAGTCGAATTTCGCCCAAAGGCTGTGGAGCATGCGCACATGGACCCTACCCTGTCACTTCGTAGTCAAGTGCTCCTGGTCAGCCTCCCAGGCTCTGTGCCTCATTTCCCTCATCAGTTAACAAAGAGGCGACAGGACAGCTTCTTTGTTTTGTTTGTTTGTTTTTCGAGACAGGAATTTTTTGTGTAGCCTTTGCTATCCTGGAACTCGCTCTGTACTCGAACTCACAGAGATCAGTTGTCTCTGCCTCTCGAGTGCCGAGATTAAAGGCCTGCGCCACCAGCACCTGGTGACTCACCGCTTCTTAACTAGGGGGTGAATGGCATTTACATCTTGGTACTCTTCGCACCCACCCCACCCCCCTCCATGCCTTAGAATCTGTTGAGAATGGATCTCCGTCCCAAAGGAGACCTTTTTCCTCTTCATCTTTTGGTTTTCCAAGTGGTTTTAGAGTCCCTGTCTTCCCAGACCCCCCTGCCCACTAGCCTCGAAGGTGATCCGCGAATGGTGCCGCACTGCCAGTTCGGCGATGTTGATCCGGTTGTAGATCACGTTTTCTATGCAGCCACGGAAGTTATGCCGGTATGCCAGGTTCTTACGCGCTGCGCCCACCAAACCCCCGATGAATATCTGTGGGAAGCATGCACAGTAAGTACCCTTTCCACTATGCCTGGCTTTCAGGAAGTCTTGGAACACATTTCCCTAGGGTGAATACTAAAGCATGCACTTAGATTTGAGCCTTACTGCCACCACTAGTTGGCTGTAGGCCTTCAGCAGGTCAAATTACCGCTCTTAGGTATTTAAAATGCAGATGGGCCAGGGTCTTTAGCAACAGCACGGAACTATGGGACAATTTTCTACTTTTCCTGATTCCCCCAAATCTGAATTTCCAAATCAATCATAGTAGACCTTCAGTGAGGACCAGAACAATGACAACCAACAAGAAGTCTCTCTGGCATGTAGGAGTGGAATGGGGAGTGGATCCCCGCCCCCACTCACCCATTGTCACACCCCCACATGGTGCCCCACCCTTGGTCACCTCATTGTCCAGATTCAGCCTCTCGAAGTCGCCATTGAGCACAAAGCGATGGACATAACCGTCTAGGGTGAGATTTGCTTCTCGGCCATATCGGTCCACCCGCACGTAGTGCCAGCTCAGGTCGTTAAGGACGCCGCCAGCACTCACCGTGGTGTGACCGGGTCTTGGCTGGATGGGGCTGCTGCCTGAGGGCAGGGCAGGACAGAGTGAGAATTCCTGCGAGCCCTCGCTCCCAAGTAAGCTGCAGCTCCCAACACAAGAGTACCCAATCCCAATCAGAGCCTAGAGTGGAGAAGTGGTCTTTTAACCTCTCCGGGTTTCTTCGGCTCTCTGTAAAACTCTGAGTAGGATAGCTGCTTGTACCTCATCACACTGGGGGTTATGAAAAGCAAATGAGATACAAAATCGTTTTGCGTGTTTACAATGCCTTGTTCAAGGTCACGCAATTGGTAAGCCGAAACCAGTTCTGACTTCTAGCCCGCTGTAGCCTAGCACCAAGCTCTACAAAAGAAGACCCGGCTTAGGCAGGGCAGCACTCTGGGGTCCCGAAGCTCACCCAGGCTCATGTGCAGCAGCAGGTGTGCCCCCTGCAGTTCAAGCGTCACATAATCCCCCTGGGAGCCCTCGGTGTGAAGCAGGAGCCCATCCTTCTCCTCGGTCTTGAAACTAAAAGCGAACACGTCCCAAAGACTTTGGCTGACCCCTCGCGGAAAGCGGTACGAGATGGCATCATCGCCGTCAAAATACAGTATGTCGGACTCTGCGCGAAGGACCGTGGGTGGGCGGGGGGCCGGGGGGACTGTCCCCTCTCAGGCTCCTTGCCCCCACTCCCAACCTCCACACCCTTACGGTAGGGACAGCCGTAGAGGCCCAGCCGCAGGCCGATCTTGCCGCGCGGGTTCCAGGCCAGCGGCACGATGCGGACGTAGCGAGCTGTGAAGTGGTAGTGCAGGTCGTGGCGTACCACAGCCGACTCATTGACGTTACCGAAGAAGGTCTGCGGCGAGGGGGGGGGGTTGGGAAAAGTAGTAACCTTGTTCCCACCCTCAGCTTTCCCTCCCGCGGTGGCTTTCAAACCTTGCCAATCTTGACTGGAGAGCAAACGGGAGTTCACTCCACCTTCCCTGCCCCCAGGATTGTCCAGGGACTAGTGTCCTATGGTTCCTTCAAAGCACAAATCTAATGCCACCACCTTCAGGAAGCTCTTTGAGGTTTTACCCCAAAGTGTGTTAAACCTTATAACTGGCGAGAAACAGTCTGAGCTGGACTAAATCCCAAGGGCAGTTTTCCTCACCTGTGCCTCATGCTGTCCCCTCCCCTTCCCTTCAGGCTAGTGCCCAGCCCAGGGCCCAGAGCAGGGGAGGCTCCCCAAAAGTGTGCGCCAGAGTACCGCGTTGTGCCCTTGTTGGTAGAATGGTGTCCAGCTGTCCACACGGTCCCCGTAGAGCAGCATGTAACGTGTGACCCAATCCCAAGAATTAAAGGCTCCCTGTGTAGCCACAGCCCGGATCCGATGCTTCGACATTAAATCTATCTGGAGCCAGGGATTCGGGTCCCCAATCCGGGGCGACCATCCACTGATGCCTACAGAAAGGGCAAGGGCTTTTACCACCCACTCTCTTCTCTCAGCTCTCCGGAGTCCTCCCCTCCCTGGTTGGGCTAGCTCACCGTGCAGCCGGGCAAAGCGGGCTGTGGTAAAGAGCCCATAGTAGGAGGAGGCGCCCAGGGACCGTGCATACAGAGGCCCCACCAGCTCCTCATTGCAGCCATCTGTGGGGGTGGGGGGGAGAGAGGATGGGATGGATGAGCTTGTTAATATGCCCCTCTTCTAAAGACTGACCCTCTTAGTCTAAACTCCTCTTCACTGCCCCCCAGTGGCAGACTCAGCCCCACCTTAAAGCTGTGCCCTCAACCTAGGCTTCAGCAACAGCTGATCCCTCAGGGGCTCTTGGCTTCTCCCCGTAGGGCAACTCTTTGCCTTGATCTCCAGATCCAAAGTCAGATCCTTCCTTCCCCCTCCTGCCCTGATTCAGTATTCTCCTAAGCACAATCCCCAAACTTCAGCGTATTTAAGAACCCAAATGGGCCTCAGAACACCTGATTAACCCCAGCCTTACCATCCAATCCGTTCATCAGCCCTCCCCCACCGAAACGTGCACCAATCCCCAAATCAGGATCTGCTCCCAATCCAGTCACTTCCCAATCCCATTCTTAGCATCATCCTTGGCCTTAGACAGGGTCACCAACTCCTATTTGGATTCTAGCCATAAAACCCAGCCCCAGCCACAAACCCTACCTAGGTCCCTGGGTCAGCTCCAAATTCCAGCCCCAGCCCCTCAGGGAAAAACCTCAACTCTAGCCTGGGTCACCAATACCGGTAGCACTTATAGCCAACCCTAACCTCAAACCCAGGCACTGGCTGCCGCTTGGATTAACAGCTCCAAATCCCCCGGGCTGACTGGTTGCTCGGCTCAGAGCCCAGCCCCAGCACGGGGCGCGCGCGCAGCAGTCTGGTAGCTGCATTGCGGAGCGCTAGGGAGAGGCAGGAAAAGATGGGAGCGAGCCGGCGGGGAAGGACCGGCGACCACCCAGCCGCAATGCGGCGCCGGACTCGCCCTGCAAGCTCTGGACCCCTGTACCCAACCCCACCTGCCTCTGAGACCAGCACTTACAGTAGCCCCAGCCCCGAGCTCCAGAGACCACAGCGGCGAGCAGGATGCTGAAGAGTCGGAGGAGACTCATCACGCAGGGCTGACCAGCCCTGGTGTCTGCCTTGCTGTGCCCTGCTCCTGCTAGGGTTCCAGGTCTGGCTCAGGCCCCTAGTTTTTCTCTTGGGGTTCTCGACCGATCGCTGTTTCTTCGTCCTTATCCACCCTTTCCTCTCTCTTAACCTCCCAATCTCTCTCTCCTCTCTCTCTCTCTCTCTCTCTCTCTCTCTCTCTCTCTCTCTCTCTCTCTCTCTCTCTCTCCCTCTCTCTCTCTCCCCTCTCCTCTCTCTCCTCTCTCCCCTCTCTCCTCACCTCCCTTTCTCCGCCCCCTTCCCCAGCCTCTCTCTCTCCTGGCACGCGCGTTTTCCCGGACCCCGCGCAAGCGCGTGCCTCAGCCTTATTGCGAAAGGGCGGGGTAGAGAACCTGCCACCGGGAAATACCCCCAAATAACCCAAAGCTGACAAGGACTGGGCTGCAGGGTGACAAAAAGAGAAGTGGGGGGGGGGATGAGACGGAGTCTAACATTTTCAAAGGAAGGGGAGAGCTTCGCAGAAGGACACCTAGAGACGGAATGAAGGGCAAATAAAAAACGGGTTTCTGAAGGTAAATAACGTTCTTGGCTCAATGCTGGACACCTTCATAACTGTGAACTCGGTATTTTCGCCTTACTCCACTTGGCACATGGAAAGCCCGAGGCTCAGAGAGGAAAACAAGTCTTATTCAAGATCATACAATCCTTTTTTCCATTGGCAGGGATTAGATAGAAATCAGGCACGGTGGAAGGGAAAAGTTAACCCGCAGACCCTAATCTCCACCCTCCTTCTTGGCCTTTCTCCCCACCCCTTCCTTCCTGCCCCACTACTTATTTAACTTTACCCCCCTGTGACTGTACCTCAGAAACCCGTGTAGCCAGAGATGGGGACCGAGCCCACACAGCAGGTGGGAGTCGGGGCAGGGAGGGGGGGAGAAGGGTTGCAGAGAGGGTGGGGAAGGGGGAAGGAATGGGTTTCCCCACATAATATCGGGCCTCTGTCATCCTCCGAGCTGCACAGGAGCCTAAAAAACTTACTTAAGACCCCCTTGGTAGGAGCGTTTTCAGTATGCTCGTGATCGACCTGGCGGTAGGGTGGGGAAGAGAGAAGAGAAGGATACAGAAAGCCTAAGCTTGAAGTCTGGGGTCCAAGGCAGAAGCAAAGCCTGCATCTGACCTTCCTTCCAGAAGAGGGCACTGCACAGGGAACAGACGCAGCCAAGATTTATTAATAATACAAATGCTTGGTCTAAGGCGAGCTAGATGCTTCATCTCTTCAACAGTCCTCCCTGCAAGCCTTGCCAGATGGGCTGGTTAGGACTAACAGACTGGGCAGAACACATTAAGTAACTGAGGTCCAGACAGAGCAAGTAGCGGCTCAAGGTCACCCAGAAATCTGGGAGCAGAACTGGCAAGAGAAACAGCTGCCTGTTCAGCGTACCCTAGAAAAAAAATTTTGGGGGGGGGGTGTCTCTCTTCTGGTGTTTTCGGCTTCAAGTGAGGAACTCCTGCGTGAAAGTGAGTGGTGTAGGAATGTCTTACATGGTCCCTCCTCTCATTTTCATGTCACCAGGTCTCTTGGGAACCCTACTCCGGGTACGATGAGGAGGCTTACTCAGCGGAGCCGTTGCCAGAACTCTGTTACAAGGCGGATGTGCAGGCTTTTAGTCGGGCTTTCCAACCCAGTGTCTCCCTGATGGTGGCTGTGCTGGGTCTGGCAGGCAATGGCCTAGTCTTGGCCACCCATCTGGCAGCCCGACGAACTTCCCGATCTCCCACCTCCGTTCACTTGCTCCAGTTGGCTCTGGCTGACCTCCTATTGGCCCTGACCTTGCCCTTTGCAGCAGCAGGAGCTCTTCAGGGCTGGAATCTAGGAAGTGCCACCTGCCGAGCCATCTCAGGTCTCTACTCGGCCTCCTTCCACGCCGGCTTCCTCTTCCTAGCCTGTATCAGCGCAGACCGCTACGTGGCCATCGCTCGAGCTCTCCCAGCCGGGCAGCGGCCCTCCACACCTGGCCGTGCGCACTTGGTCTCAGTCTTCGTGTGGCTGTTGTCGCTGCTCCTGGCCCTACCTGCGCTCCTTTTCAGCCGGGACGGGCCGCGGGAAGGGCAACGGCGCTGTCGGCTCATCTTCCCCGAAGGCCTCACGCAGACTGTGAAGGGGGCAAGTGCGGTGGCGCAGGTGGTCCTGGGCTTCGCGCTGCCTCTGGGCGTCATGGCAGCCTGTTATGCGCTCCTGGGCCGCACGCTTCTGGCCGCCAGGGGGCCAGAGCGGCGTCGCGCACTACGCGTTGTGGTGGCCCTGGTGGCGGCCTTTGTGGTGCTGCAACTGCCCTACAGTCTCGCCCTGCTGATGGATACAGCCGATCTACTGGCAGCCCGCGAACGGAGCTGCTCCGCCAGCAAGCGCAAGGATTTAGCTCTGCTGGTCACCGGCGGCTTGGCGCTGGTCCGCTGCAGCCTCAATCCGGTGCTTTATGCTTTTTTAGGCCTGCGCTTCCGCCAGGACCTGCGGAGGCTGCTACATAGTGGGGGATGCAGCCCAAAGCCCAACCCCCGAGGCCGCTGCCCCCGCCGACTCCGCCTTTCTTCCTGCTCTGCTCCCACTGAGACCCACAGTTTCTCTTGGGACAACTAGGGCTACGATTCCAGAGAGGGGGGAGGGCTAAGGAAACGATCCCAGGGAGGGCTGTGAGAAAAGGGAGTAGGTGGGGGAACGTTGAGAAAGACTTCAGGACCTAAAGGGATTGCCTCTGCACTTAATTAAATTGATACAATGCAAATGAGATGCAACCCAACCCAACTATTGTTACTATTTTTGAATCACCAACTTTGGAGTTGTAGCGAGGCCAAGGCAGTGGGTTGCACCCCCACCCCCACGCTTGAGCCTGAGTGGGAGGTGTTGGTGGAGGGGGGCTGCTGAGTCGGCTAAAGCTTTGAGTACTGACACTCCCTCTGCCTTCACTCAGCCTCTGCCAACCGAGGTGAGGTGGGAAAGCTGCCAGGTGAGGAGGGGCGGGGTTCCTCCGGAGTCAGTGTAAGAAAGGGCTTTCTAACAACACTAGCGCTCTCCAGTAATGGCTGCTTTAGCAAGTACCTAGCTCCCAAGCGTGTAAAATGTGTGGGGCGAAGCTATCCCAAACTGTGTGTGCGTGGGTCCGGCCTGGAGGCAGGGGTAGAAGGCAAGAGATTCTAGTTGGGGGTGGGATTTTGGATCCCTTTTAAAGTCCTGCAATGGAAAGAAAAACACTAATTAAAAAGTCGAGTCTGCTGGTGTGTTAACAGATGCCTGTAGCCCCAGCACTCCAAAGACTGGGGTGGGGGTGGGGGATCAAGAGCCATATCCTGCCTAAGAAGAAAAGGAAAGGAAAGGGAAAAGTTGAGTTAGTTTTTCACCTAGGATTAAAAATAGGGGGAGGGGGGAGTATTGCAATTTGCAAATTTCCAGAGAGAAGTTATTGGGTATTTAGAGAGTTGAGAGTGGGGGGTGCTTCTTCGGTTCACTTCTCCTGGAGACTGTGTAAAAGGAAATACTACACTGAGCTTGCCAGGAACGAGGGAGGTTAGATATCAGAAAGAATTCTCCCGCAGGCAAAGATCGAGGATCTTGAAGAGGAAGGGAGACTATGATTGCAAAGTCTCCGACCATTTTCATCCAATGTGAAAGTACAATCAGGATGGCTTCTAGAGATGGTGCATTGATTTCTGGTCTTTGCACAATCACAAATACCAGGATTGGCTCAAACAAGACAATTCTCCCAATTTAGTATCTGGCCAGCAAAGCCATACCCACTGCTCCAGCCCCAGCCAGGAGTCTAGGGGCAAAAGGGCGTGGCATACAGGTCCCTAGAGAGGCGTTCGCTTGAAGTATTCCCTCCGTCCGGCCCAGCCCAGCCTGGCTAGTCTTCGATCTTAAAGCCTCAGGAGGTAGAGACTTAAAACTTCGGCCTCTTGTAGCCAGAAGTCAGGGAAGGCCTGAAAACTGCGCAGATCCTCAGAGGGGCTCACGCTACCCTTCGGAGCCGACCTGGAATCCTTCGCCAGTGGCCGCGGGAATCGCCGCTGAGTCAGCAACGCGCGCGCACCCGCTGTCTCCGGCTGTAGCACGGGCCCCGCCCTAGACTCTTAGGGCTCTTGTTAACCCTTTCTTACGTAGAAACGCAGCAGATTCGCCCCAGAGGCCTCCGATCTTTTTTTCTGAGACTACAGAATTCCCTAGCGTGCCTAGCCACCCTCCCCAGTTCAGGTCAATGCACTGTAAATTGGCTTTTATCTGAGGTCTTTGTCTGAGGCATCTCGGAGTTCCTTTCTCAGCTTTTTCACCTTAAAAGTGGGGTGACTAAGATCTAAAACTGGACCCTTTGAACTCCAAGGATGAAAAACTGCTTCTGCAGCTAGCTCTCCGGCGCAGGCATGGGATGCCTCGCGGTTGTTAAAGCTCTGTACTTTGGCAGGGATTCCAAGATGTGTCAGGTAACCACAGGGCAGTAGCCCTGCTTCCTTCCAATAGCTCTTCCTTCTCCAGACCTACTAAGAGAACTTTTAATTTGCTGCTTGGTGAACCAGGAGTTAAAACAAGAGCACGAAGGCGGGCCTACGTGACGCCACAGGCACCCCTAGTCCGACCTCAGAAGCTGGGGCGTGGCTAACATCGCACCGCCCACCCCTTCCTCATTCCCCCGCCTCTCTCCTCTGTCACTCAGCCAGAAGCACATGATGCAACCCGCCGTGGTTTCAAGCGTGGGATTGGTGGCCCTGGCCGGCGCCAGGCACAGAGATTGGGCAGAGAAGGCTGTGACGAAATGTAGACCCTGCCCTGTAAAGAAGGGAGGAGAGAAAAAAGAGGGAAGGTGGAGGGAGGGGAAGAGAGGGAGGCGGGGTCTGGGAGCTCAGCTCGCGCCCCCCAGCGCGCCAGTCCCGGGGCTGCAGGGAGCGCAGCGCGCGCCGCCCGG